TTTTTCTGCTTTCCCCTCCTTTCCCCTGGAATTCTTGAAGGGCTGTATTCTGCATGAATGCAGAAAATGCACAAAATGAAGTATTGGGGCTCAGCTAAAACCCAGCTTTTAAACAAGTACGTTTCTAGCCCTCATGGCATAATGATATCCTTGAAAGTGTGTGGCTGGCACCAAATGAAATTTAGGAAACAAGAGAAGAAGGTTGTCAAATTTTCCAGTGACAAGGAGCAGTGCCTTGGGCCAATCTCAGCCTACCTCACAAGGTTTGTGAGGATAAGATGGAGGAGATTAACACAATGTAAGCCACTCGGGGAAGGGGGGGGGTTAAGGTATAGGTGAAGTAAAATATCTTTCCATCTCTCTGTGTTTCTTTCCTCCTTCCAGTTCCTAACATTCTATCACATAGTGGTGGAGAAAAGTGAAACCAAAATGATCAAGAGTTTTGGAGCACCTTTTCTGCGAGCGAAGAAAAAGCCTTTGAGTCTTATTTAATTCAGAGAAAAGGAGATAACTAATGGAGGACATGATAAAGTTTTGCAACATGTGTGGATTGGAGAAGGAGGATGGAGAAAGCTTTTTCTCCCTTTTGCATAATATTAGAACTGGGCAAGGGGGATCACTGAGCAAAAACTGCTGTGCAGTGGATCCAGGATGAAAGAAGATACTTTGTCATGTGACATGAAATTAATGTATGGAATTGCCTACCTTACTAATGGCTCAGTATTAGCTTTGACAGTTTTAAAAGGAGATTCCATAAGTTTACGGAGGAGCTGTCTGTCCATGGCTCTTTGCTGCAATGGCTGATGGGACCGCCATCTTTAGAGGTAATATACCTCTGAACACCAATTGTGGGGGCAAGTAGTAGGGGAAAATTGTCCCCTTCTTCCCTTGCTTGGTGACCGCTTGTTGGCCTCTCTGGAGAGCAGCATGTTAGTCTAGGTGAACTTTTAGTCATCTCTGGCAGGGCTCTTCGCAATGTTTTTATGTGGTGTGACCCAGCAAGAGAACTCAGAGCAGAAGTGAATGGAGAGTAGCAAATATGATTGTCGGTGTCTAGAATCGTCAGAGGGAAGGGAGACGGCTGAGGCTTGACCTTAGTAAGTTTCCATACTTTCACATTCGTACGTGGAGCCTGCCGATTGGTCCTGTACAGTAAAGTAAAGCACTGTACTTGTAACTTGTTGTTTGCCCTCCATCCCTGAGAGGATGGTGCACTCCTCATCCTCGGGCCATCCCACTGTGTGTTGTATGTCTTTACACATGCACACACATACCATGTTCTTGCCATGTACAATCCCTCCCTCCACATATCTCCACCTGTGACAACAAATAATCAGCCTGCTAGTATTAATACATTCTTTTGGGCCCCCCCCCATCTCACTTCTGTCGAGTTCTGGAAACAAGATGGAGCTTGTAGTTGGCTACAGCATCAGTGCCACCCAAAGCAAAGTTGGCCCTAGGTTGTCAGTGGGCTCAGAAGGGTGGAACTCCACTTAGGGAGGCACATTTAATGCTGTGGCAAAGGCCATTGGCCACCAAATGCTGAAAAATAGCTGACACTCTCACTCATTGGGTCTTAGCAAATATGAATTGGGTGGTGTCTTCATTAAATATCTGGAAATGGTTTCTCAAGGCTAGAGGGAGACGCGTTGGTTACAAGCATGAGGTAATTCCATGAGGGGTTTGAACTATATTGAGAGATAAAGAAAATATGTTAGTTGGGAGATTAAAATCCAGGTGAAAGGAGAACCAGAAGAATAACAATCACAACATTCAAGGTCAGAAGAAAAGCATATTCTGAAAGATGGTCAATCAGTCCATGGGCAATAAATAGTTATGTGCTTGCTTAGGCATTAAAATTGAAATTTCTGGTACAATTGGAAAGTAGTGAAGAAGAGCTAATGCTACCCAAACAGACACATGCATGAATCTAATTCATGTTATCTGGGATTGCGAGAGCAAACGTCCTCTTGCAAGATGTTCTTGTTCTATAGGAATGTTGGAAATAAATGTGCAAAAGGTTGTGAACCACAATTAGTGGGACAGATGGATTATGTCTGAGGAGATTTCAATACGAAGTCACCTTTAAAGGTACATAAATGTGACGGCTTTGAAATAAAAAACCCAGCTTCTGTGAGAACAAAGCTCCTTACCCGTAGACACCTGCAGTGCTCTTTTTATTTTCTAACTCTTATTCTTCTGTTCTCTTTAAGTTAGCTGAGGTTGTGAACACCATATATCCAGGTGAATAAAAGAAAGTAGCTACATATATTCTTTGATAGTATTTCTATTTGTTAAAATATTCATCCCTGCCTTTCCCTTGTGGCTCAAAGCGGCTTACAGTTTCAGAATTTAAAACCTAACAAAGTGCATCTGGAATCTCAGAGCTGGAATGCCTGCCTTTTACATCCCACTAAAAGCCCTAGCAAATAAAATAGTTTTATTGCAACTCCTAAAAACATCTTAACATAGCACCACCCTCACCTCTTCAGGGGGTCTGTTTGACAATGGTAGAAAAGGAATAGGCTCCGGTAGATGCCAGGTTGGCTATCTTAAAGAGGTGGGAGCGGCTAGCAGGTGGCAACCTGAAGACTAAAGCTGGCGTATAGCGTAAGACAGACTCATTTGTTATGAGGGCCGGATCTGACGTAAATGTCACTTTGTCAGCCAGGCCATGTGTGCTGTAAAGGTACTAGAGATAGAAGCTGTATAAAGGACAGCAGCTCATAAGCTCCAAGTTGGTGTATCCTCACTGCAAGCCTCATAGGCTGGGAAGGTGTGCAGAGGAAAACTCACATAGGTGGACTGGAGAGGCAGCAGTGCAGGGCTGGGCATATGCTCCCGTGATGCTTGACTGCTGCTGGCAAGATTGTTCTGTTGTGCTGAAGCCACAGTGGAGTGGCTCTGCCCACTTCCCCCAGTTCTCCCTCCCTTGCATCAGTTGCTCGTGGGCCACATAAGAGCCCTGGATGGGCCAGTTCTGGCCCCCGAGCCTTATGTTTGACACCCCTAGAAAGAAGCTCCTTTAGAGCCTCAGCTATTGAGAAGCTAAAGAGGAGTCTGATTTCTGGAGTGCAGACCTTTATCCAGATTAGCCTGACAAAAATTGCCATCTGAAGAAAATGCTTGTAGAATGCAACTTGGTTCCAACACTGAGAGTGTGTTACATATGGTCCTTGCAGGCGCCGCTTCCTGTATATCGTTAACCTAGATGTGCCAGCAGAAGGCCACCGCAAGATCTCTCGCCAGAGCAAGTGGGACATCGGCGCCGTGCAGTGGAATCCACACGACAGCCATGCACACTACTTCGCTGCTTCGGTAAACTGGTCCTGATATTTGGCTGTGTTCTCTGCCTTTCCCCCATCTAGGTCTTAACGGTGCAGTGTGTGTGTCCAAATTATTCATGGGATTGAGGTTAGATGGCTGCTTCTGAAAGTATCAGAAGAATGCTTACAGGGAGTTTCCGCATCATGTGTAGATCTGAACTAGGGCAACCAGTGTATTTTGCAAACATATAGAGCTTTAGTTGACCACTGGATTGCTCAGGGTTTTCGTTTGCGTGTACCAAAGCTGGAAACACATGCAAAATGTGTGCCTTGCCCCTGTTCAGACAACATTGTGTCATTGTGTATCTGGAGCATTGTGACTACCGCATGCTCCCAGTATGGTACTCATGAGTGTCATGTTTTAAGTATGTTTCTGTTTCCCTCACACATACATACCTTTTAATTCTGCAATTTACAGGCAAAAACTGTCAGTGTGTTTGTGTGGGATTATGAAGCTGAGATCCCTGAATTCTAAAGAAGGTGCCAGAAGCTTCACAATCTGCAGCTCCAGTGTAAACCCCCCTCAATGTAAAGCACCAAACACCTTCCCTAGAAAACAATGTTTCCCATTGTTTTGGAAAACTTCAGGGATATGCATTGACACACCTCTTTAGAGAACAGCCTTTCCCCATCTGCACATGATGTCTGAACTGAGTCATTGTGTTTGGACAGGAAAGGACTGATCCATCACATGCCTCTCTTCCCAAAAACTGCTCTCCAGAAGACGGCTCATTGGAATATCTAGAGTTTGGTTTAGTTATGTAGTTGTCTGAAATTCTAGGTGACTTACAGAGTCCAGAATCATAAAACCTCCAGGGGATAAAGAACTAAAACATGTAAATGAATAGATAATCTAGAAAGATTGTCCAAGATACGCTACAAACACCGTCCTCAGCAAATTGTGCTTTGTATTGGTTGTGATAACTTAAATGGGAAGTGCATCAACACACCGCTTTAGGGAAGTCTTCATACAGCCTTGCAGAAAGGTTGGGAATAGCTGTGAAGGCCCTGTTCTTAGTTGCCAGGGAAGATTCTTTTCTGACTGATGGGCTTTGAAGCAAGAGATGTTCACACTTCTTTATCCCACCTTTCTTCCATCATGGAGCTCAAGGTGATCTATGTGGAGCTTCTGGAAGGGCATGGTTCAGATACTGATGAGTCCCAGATCTCTTTACCTTTGGCAAGGTTGTCTTGTTACCCTTTGTCTTCCAGCCATAATCAGGGGAACAATTCTGTAGCTGCCATCGACCCTTCTGTCCGTGTTATGGCTACTAACGTCTTCTGTTAATTTCAGAGCAATCAGCGCGTTGACCTGTATAAATGGAAAGATGGGCATGGGGAAGCTGGCACTTCCTTGCAAGGGCACACACGCGTCATCAGGTATGACACTCCTGGTGAGGCTCCATGCATTCTCTTATCAAGTGCGGCTGGCTGCAGGCCCTGACACACCAACTCTGGTCAGTCAGTTCTCTCTGGCAAGACAAAGCTCCCCATTCCTTCGAGCAGCTTTTGCGCTTTCTACCTCCAGGGAATATTTTTCTGTATCAGTTTATCCACTGAGGAGTTCACAGATAAGTCTTTCAGGGCATAAAATTCAAACCCAGAGTATTTGGGTCTCATAATGCTCAGATGAGTCTTTCAGGGCATAACATTCAAACCCAGAGTATTTGGGTCTCATAAGGCTAGATACATTAGCAGTGGGCATGCCCTAATCATGCCCAATACACTCCTGTAACTTCAGGGGAAGATTGATAGTAAGCTAACTTTCAAGGGTAGCATATTGGCTGTAGCCAAGAAAGTCAACAGTTGACAACATTGGGGAGCTCCTGATAAGCTTTGGGGGAACTTTCTTTCCCAGAAGTTAACACAGAGGCCTGTGCCTTACCCAGGTTGTCAGTGCAGGGATGTGGCTGAAGCTGCTGCCTGGAATTTTTGATTAAGTAGATTTGGATTTCCATCTCAAGAGAACAGTGAGGGGAAGTCTCTTGTGGAGTCCAGAGGTTAGTGAATTGTAGAAATATAAGGCAGAAACCCAGGGGCACCTTAAAAGACTTAACAGCATTTATTCCTGCATGAGCTTTTGTGCATCAGAGCTCAGTTCCTCAATTGCTCATAAAGACGTTTTTTGTGAGTTCCAGCTCAGAAAGCTGGTCTGCAGCCCTGCAAAGCCCTGGGCAGAGTGCAGGGGTGCTCTTCCTGGGTCAAAAGATCGGGTGGGGGCAAGTAGGAGGGAGAGATCTGGAATTCTTCGTCTGCAGTTACTTTTGTCCTGCTGTGCATTCTACCAGCCATGAGCAAAAATGGTTGCTAAAGACCATGCAGAGCTTGGTGACCACTGATATCCAAGGCAGAGGCCTTCTGCTGAAACTTTGATTTCCTCTCTGTACCCTTTTCCCCCCCAGTGACTTGGACTGGGCCGTGTTTGAGCCAGATCTCCTCGTTACCAGTTCGGTTGACACGTACATCTACATTTGGGACATCAAGTAAGAGCACGGGTCCCGTAAGAGGAGTTCGTTCTGACTGCCGCGGCAGGCTCATGTAAAGCATCCAGAACTGCTATAACTTGAGGGAGAGGGTTGGGTTGGGTCCAGGCTGTTGCTTCATGGGATGTCTCAGGTTTTGCTTATGCATTGGGGTCCAGAAGGAATTTTCCTCCAGGTCAAATGGAGAGCCTGACTGGAATGGTGAATGGTCCCTGTCAGCCTTATTTTTCTCCCTCGCTTGCTTAACCTGTCACTGCTGTGCCATGAAGGCTGATTTTGATGATTCAGCCCAGTCTCAGCTTGCAGAAGGAGGTCACTTGCATTAAGGGGAATGACTGGCTACCCTTCTAGATCAGTAATTCCCAAATGGGGGTGTCACGGGAAACATTACATGATTAAAGATTCCAGTGAGCTGAATCTACTGAAGAGGTTGCTTGTTGTGCCTCTGAATGATTCCCTGCTCTAGGTCTTTCCTTTTCCCCAGTCAGCTGCCTCTGGAGGCAGATGTGTTTGAATTGGAAAGTAAGTTACTCAACCACAGAGGAGGCTGTTCACCATGCCTCCGCAGGAGTTGCTGCTCTGGGCTTGCCTTTTACCCAAGAGGGAGTCCACTTAGATCAGCGAATCATGCTGAAAGACATAGTGGGGTCCTCTGTGAACATGCTAGACTTACTCATACACCCTATGAACGTAAGCCTTTTTGGTATTGGTGTATGTCCAATTTTAATGTGGGGAAAATAGTGTGCTTTGGCTATAAAAGTTCAGGGAACGCTGACCAGGAAAGAGGTGTGTGTATGCTTACACCAGTATTGTTTTTCAGGGACACTCGAAAGCCCACTGTCTCACTCTCTGCAGTTGGTAAGTACTGGTTATCTGGGTAGGTGGAATCTCTGCTTCATGTGCTGGTTGCATCTCTGTGCTGTTGGGTATTGCTTGCAAACCATGGGCATGGTGTACCCTGCCTTGGCAGGTATTCATGTCTGGCTTCTTCCCATGCACTTATATAAATAATCTGAAAAGGTATTGGCTTTGAAATAGAAACTTAAAATGCCTCACCGTTCCAGTAGCTGGCATTCACATAACAGAAATTAAAATGGCAAAAGAGACAAAGAAACAAATATAATTTAGAAAGACAGGAGAGAGGGAGAGAAATACAGGTGGAGCTTTCAAAAGTACTTGAAAGATAGCTAGCATGAGCTAAAGAAGTGAAATCCAAAGAAT